AGTTAAATGTTTAAATCTTGTATTAATTAAATTTCATCTCGAACCTTCTAGCGGAAAGTTAAGTAAATATTAAGTACTTATATTAAGTACTTAATATTTAATATAACTTATAAATGAAGAAAAATTTCAAGAAGATAAATAAATTTAAAAAAAAAAATTGATAGATAAATTTTAAAACAAAAATTTCGAGCGAAGAGAGAAATAAAATGTGGTGGTGAAAAATTGATCATCTCTTATTGGAAAGATTGTATTGGCTGTTGTAAAGTGCATTCTATCGTGTGTTCGAACGTAGGAAAGCAAAATTTATGGAACGTTTACTGTCGTGGTTGGCGGGTTGCTTATAGCTTTTGTTACGTATATGAGAGTTTCGCGCCATAGACGAGCATCCATCCTCTCATTTTTCTAGATATAAAAATTCCGATTAATGTTCTGCGTCTAATAAATTTTTCGAGAAACAAGGATACAGAATCGAATGTCAACTTCGACTGAAAAAAAAAAAAAACTAAATTAATAAAATAGATTATTAAAAATATAAAAACTTATTAAATATTAAAATTAATATTACTTTATGATATGATAAATAATATCATCTGAATATATTTAATCTATTTAATTTACATAACTAAAATTTCTTGACACTTGATTATTCTAAGTTCGATTTTCACTTCTTCAAAATTCCTCTCCTTCGTTTCGAATATAATGCTCGCTGTTTTCTAAACACGTTGCACGTTGGTTTGAGTATTAATTGTGGAAGAAAAAGGAACACGAGGCGTATACAGAGTTGGGGAAGGATACGTAGTTATCGACGGTGAAAAAGAGTAGGGGGGGGACGTGAAACGTGACCGAACAAAATGTCGGATCGAGATCCAACGAACGAGAAAAAGGGACAACACGCCTGACGAGAATACCGGAAACGGAGGATCGAATGGCACTGATCCGTCGATTGCTCGAATGTTTGTGAAGAATTTTACCTTTTCGATCATAGGCACGTGTACTATTTCATACCCTTGAACTCGTATTTCTCTTTTGAGAATAAATAAATTTATCATAAATTTGCTATTCACACTTATCGATAATTTAGATAATTAATAATTTAAATTAATTTTCAAAAAAAAAATAAAAAAATAAAAATTGAGAAAAATAAAATGAACTGGATCGAAAGATAAAATATATCCAATGATTGTATTATATAAAATTTGTACGATATTTATATTTTGTTATTAAGTTTTTGTTATTAAGAATAACAGCAATATTAAGAAAAGAAAAAAAAATTCAAGAGATAATTATTCAGGAACAATTTCAAGCAATAAACAATTTTGTTATTTCCATCGATCTCCAAAAAGGAAAAAAAAGGAAGAAACAGAGAGAGAAAGAGAAAATAAAAATACAAAAAGAAAGAGTTAAGGCTATTGTAGATAGATCCAACTATTGTATTGTGCATTGTGGCCGGAAATTCTCTTCGTTCGGCTTGTTCCTTCAATCACGATTCACGAAATTCATCGTGCAAAGAACGATTCGTTTGCTGCCTCTTCTTTTGTCACGCGTGCACAGATATCGTTCACCGTGAACAATTCATTTTTCTAACGAAATAAATTTTTCACGAAATTGAATCGTTTCGTGGCAACGCTTTCGTCCTTTTAGTTTCTTTTTAATTTCATTTTTATTTTGTTTTGTTTGTTTTTTTTTTCTTTTTTTACCAAACGAAAATATTGGAGGGAATAGAGAAAAATTTGAAAATTCGAGAATTAATGGATTGTGTTTAATGGATTCGAAAACTTTACTATTTTTTTGTATTTTTGTTCGTTTTCGTGTTCGATCGTTCATTTACTGGAAAATAGTAAAAAATGAAGATGATAAATTATCCTTTGCAGTTTTTAATTATAGAAAATTGTATTTGGTGAGATGTTTTTCAAGTAGTTGATTTTTTATAATAATTTTATTAAAATTCTTTCCTTTATTTGTAATTCAGAGGCTATCCTGTAAAAGTTAATAAAATTAATTGAAATTAAGACATTAAAATTAATTTTAACCTAATCTTAAGATAATTTCTATTGATTTTCAATTTTTAGCAGAGTGATTTCAAAGTTTGGAATACAAAATTTTATAGAAAGAGAATTTTAAATAATACTTTAGAGGAAATGAAATTTAGATGATCATGCATATATGAATCATATGTTTCACAAAGTCTTTCTTTTGAAACTACTATTAACAGGCAACAAAATACTTTTTCATCATTTTATGGCTCGCTGGAATATCTTTTTTATGATAAATAGGAAACTGCGAAACTTTGTATTATTCCTCAGAGATTCTCTTTTATCGTTTTGACAAAGCAATATTGCATGTCAAGAAAAATAAAAAAAATAAAATGAACTAAGGAAAAGAAAAATTTATCGTTCTTGTTTAAATTTTTTTTTAAATTTCTTATAAAAAAAAAATTTCATTCACATCCAAAACGTAAATATTTAATTACTCATAATTATGAAAATATTTTTGTTCCATGCCTCAAAGATTTTTCTTTCTCTTCTATAATATAATAATTAATCAAGTTCTGAAAAAATATAATTTAAATATTTTACCAGTGTTTTTTTTTCTTTTTCAAGTTACATTAAAATATTTAATAATATGAATATAAAACCATGTATTTTATAAGAATCCAGAACCGAATCATATTTAATTTATTTCTCTCTAAAAAAATTAATCTAACCTAACTTTTTATTTTTCTTAGGAAAGTAATATTTGAGTTTTTTCTATCATTTTCCAGTTGAGAAACACTGTTCTACATCAGCAAACACGATATAACGCGTTGAAATTCCAATTTTTAAGAAAACGATCGTTAGCACGACGACGAATCAAACGAATAAATCGTCTCCGTTGCCGTGACTCCAATTTTGGATTAACGATGTCGTATCGCACACTCGATAATCATGGTAATGACACCAGCTAAATTTGCACTCGTCTCGTATATCGTTATATGTTACTTTTGCCATGATAATCAAAGAGCGAATCGAATTTCTTTATGGACAAGAAAAATGTAAATAAATCATTATAAATTACTTGCGATTAATTTAATTTTAACTCGATAAATAAAATATTTTTTAACTTAAACTATAGAATTAAAATTATAACAGTTAAACTACTGTTTGTAATGTAGTAACAGAAATGTAATATATTCATTATGAGATAAAAAAAATTTAGTTTTGTAATGTATAAAATATGAAAAAAAAAATGCATTATCGTGAAAATTAATAATTTGATAGAATAATCCAGATAAATAAATTGTAACATTTATACCAGATTAACAAATCTATCTATATTATAAAAAAGATTTAATTTTCTGAATTTATTTTTTATTATTTCAATGAGTAAATAATATTATTTTTAAAATAGTGAAAACATTGTCAAATATCATTTACAATTAAAAATAAAATAATTAATTCAGAAATATAATATCTGAATTTTGTAATAAACTTGTAATTTTCTAACTAAAATAAAAATTAATTCATTTTTAAAATTTATATACATACATATATATATCTCAATTTTTCGATAAATATTTTAACAACAATCAAAGAAAAACAAAGAATTTTGCTGAATAAAAAAACTAATGATCTGGCCAATATTTACAGTAGTTTGCTAAATTAAAATTGCATTGAGTATAGTTGGTACTTAAATGGTCGACAATCTAGGAACATCAAGTGTGTTGGCAATAGTGGTCTAGACCATATCTAGACCAGTTTCTTGACCACAATAGTCGAGCAAATAAGAGAGAAAAAGAAAAAAATAAAGATTTCTTAAATTGCTTGGTAAGCTATATACAAGCTAAAAATCTTATGAAATTGGCAAATATTTATAATAAACTGTACTGTAGTTAGAAAAGAAAATTTTTATCTTTACAATATTAAAGCATGACAAATTATTATAATTTAAGTTTGTTTAATTACCTCGTTTCTTTTCCAATTTTTCATTGCAATAGTTTTCGAAATAGTTGCTCAATTGTCATATCTAATAGTATGAATTGTGATGAAAAATAAAAAATAAAGAATAAAAAATTTTCGAAAAAAATATTAATAATTAAAAAAACAAAACCTCAATTTTTCTTTATTTTTGACTTAACAATCCAATAATTAATTCAAGTTATATTAGCATCAAAATATATATTGATTTAATTATTTTTTTCTATCTTAAATCAATTTTTTTCTCTACTTGTAATTCATATCTATCTTTTATCACTCGATTATTCATCTCTCCTAAAAACAAAATTTTATTTCGTAATATTAAAAAAATCAAAATATCGTTCCATTTCGGATTTTACGATTTCATTTCGTATGCCGATGTCTCATGGAAATAGCCTTATATCGTTCGATCGCTCGTTGTAACGATCCTTTTAAGAAAATGGCCCTCGGCTCAAGTATCCATAAAACGATCCGATATGTATTGTATACGAGAGATATACAGTGGTACTAGGCAGCTTTACAATCAAACATCTTCGAGGTTATATTTCAACTGAATTTCTGAACTTTTCTAGATATCTTCTCG